AGTGAGATCTGATTTTAGTCCTTGAAAACCAAAAAAAGTAGTGCAAGTCCTCGAAAGTCCTGGACTGTTATTTTGCAGTGTCTGTACGAACCGTTTAAGTTACCAGTTCTTGGAGCATTTGAATGTTTTTATTGTTGTTAATTGAACTGAACTGTAGTTTTCTGTAGTAAACTGTCTTTGTATGTTTCCTATTTTATATTCATTTCCTAGTATTTAAGTGACCATTATTTCTCTTGAACAAAACAATTTCAGAAATGTCATGTTTTAGATTGTAGGTCATCCTGTACTCTGTCAAGGGCAAAGCTAACCAGCTAAACTTGATATCAGAAGCATCCTAAATGTTGCATGTGTTTGCAGCATATTGTAGTGAGTAAGCTTTCCTGGTATTGCTGTTTCAGATATCCACCATAATCTGTAGTCTGAGCCTGTCGAGGGCTAATGGCAGATACGTTACTAGTAGGGCTGTGCAAAAAATCTAATGCAGTTTTTCTCAAGATTTTGTCTTCACACAGAAACTTAAGAGAGTCACATGCTCAAGATTACTGTAATACCAGACCTGAGCGAGAGAGAGAGGCTGTAATTCTCTCTTACCTCGAGCAGCTGAACTGTGTTAAATATGAGATTCAGCAGTTCGGCTCAAACACTGTAATTTACGAGCGAGTTTGTGGAGAAACTCCCTTTAGCCCCATCTAGTGACGTCTTTAATTGGAAAAAACGATCATTAAAGGAACACTCCACTATTTTTGAAAATTGTTTTAAGTTAAACGGTGGAGTTTTACCGTTTTCTACTCCATTCAGCCGATCTCCGGGTCTGATGACCAAAGAGTTTTGATATTTTTCCTATTTTTCATTTTCCGTCGGTCTTAGTACACGATGTAACTACAGAAGAGTCAAGTTTTAAATAGGAAAAATATCGAAACTCTCTTTTTGTCATTTTTGAGCGAGATGCTAATGGTCTAATCAGATTCAATGATCTATGCTAAGCTAAGCTAAAAGTGCTACCGCCAGACCCGGAGATCGGCTGAATGGATTCGAAAACGGTAAAACTCAGCTGTTTAACTCTAGGGGAGCTGGAAAATGAGCCTATTTTCAAAAATAGTGGAGTGTTCCTTTAATGAAGTAAATTGTTTTATTTAGGTTCTAGATAAAAGCTCATTCAAGTGCAAATTTGGGATAAGATGTGTTTGTAATGTGTTGATAGTTGGGGCAGCTGGTGAGGAGGTGTTGCTCTGTGAGTACAGTGAGGGCAGATGCCTGTTTGCTCCTTGTGCTTGTTTCTCAGCCTCTGCCATGTTCTCTCTCTCTCTCTCTAATATGCTTGTTCTCGGTCAGAAACGTTCATCAACTCCGTCGCAACCTCTTGCTGATTAACTGTGCTGAGAAACACAGTTTAACTCTTACTAGTCCCGCAGTCTCTCTCTCTCAGCGATGTTTCTGTACTCGCTGCTGCGTCAGAAGGATGAAGATGAAGAGATTGAGGTAGACAGACACCATCTCAGTCTCAGTGTTCATGGCTTTCAGTGTTTCTGCTGAAACATGTGTGTAATCCGCTCGTGTTCGCCGGGGCTGCTGAGAGCTCAGGCTGGGAGTAGAAAAGAACTCTGGGAAATTTAATAAAAAATCCCTGGTGTTAAATCCGTCGGACTGCTGCTCGAGCTCAGTTTTAAAGGAACGGTTCACACAGAAATCATCACTTTCTTGACCTCACGTCGTTCCAGACCTGTGTGACTTTCTTTCTTCGTGGAAAACAGAAGAAGATATTTTGAGAAATGTGTCCGTGTTTAGTGTCCATATAATGGAAGTTAATGGGGTCCAATGTTCTTCGGTTTCCAACAGAAGAAAGTCATACAGGTTTGAGAAGTCATAAGGGAGAGTAAATGATGACGGTGGTCATTTCTGGGTGAACTATTGCTTTAACTAGAGAATAATAGATGTGACGTTGTGCTGATGTTCGTCTGATGAATATATTGCATGCAAAAACGGCCAGAGTTTCTCAGAGTCAAGCTCAGTTTTATGTGATTTCCAGGGAATCGTGTCTAGATCGCTGTGGCTGTTTTATAATGCTGGTCTCTCTCTCTGTCTATCTGGGTGGGTCTTGAGAGCAGATCTATGGTAGTTTCTATGGTTATTATTGTAAACCTCATGATTAGTCCAGATGTAAATGGTAGTTTAGCAGATACGGAGGAGTCACAGTCAGTCATTCAAAAATGATGACAAAAAGAGGGTAAGATTTGTGATTGTAAGCATACATTACATTTGCATGCACAAGAGAAGATTTGTAAAGGTGTAAAACGCGTTTCAAGCGCAAGAAAATAACATTTGCAGCATTTTACTGTTTTTCGTGAGTGTTGTATTGTGAACCTGCAGCTTCATGCTAACACAAAATAAATATGATCTGTATTCTTCTGACATCCATTTTTCCACGCTTACACTTCTGGCACGTGTTTCTCACCCAAAAGCATTGAACAGCGATTCATTTCGTCTACTACACCTCTGCCGCCTCAGTATATGAATACAAGAACACATAAACACAATCTCTAAAACTGCCCTGAGAGTCACTTCATGAGCATTCTGCTGTTTCATTTGAGAAAAACTCAGACACACACAGAAACTCGAAGGTCTTCACAGCAGCCCGTCAAAATAAAAGTTTGGTTTAACTTGAAGAAATTGTGACGGGAATATATTACTGTAATGATAATACTACTACTACTACTAAAATTATTAGTATTAAAACAGTATTTTTAAGGAATACTTACCAGAAAACTTATTTACCTGAAAAATGTAAATACACAACGCAATAAAAAAAAAAAATTTGTTTTTTAATTTTTATAAAATCAGTTATTTAGAGATGTTTTTGATTTATTCAAATTTAATGAAAGCCTTAAAATGGAATCCAGAAAATTAACGGAGAACACAGAATTTGGTAAGAATAAAACTAAATTTGAGAAAAAACTAAAAATGTATAGTGCCTTAAATATGTAAATAATTCATAGGGCCATAAAAATTTAAATTTGTTAAACTTTTAATAAATTGCTGTTAAATTGTGTGCGTTTCACGATTTCAATCAATTAGACGTTTTTTTTTTTTATTAATAAAGTTTAATTTAACCATTAAAGCAGAGTTTAGAAAAATTCAAACAGGAAAAAAATGGAATCCAGAAAAATTAAAATGGAAAAAATTGGAATTTGTGAAAAATAAAACTGATTTCATAAGGCCCTACATTTCACTCTCCAGCCAGCGTTCTGTCAGTAATTTTGCTGCACCTGTGAAGTTCAATATGAATACACTGTATATTGATTTTTAAAGCCATTTTTGTTCCCTTTGCGCAGTGTCCTTGATTTGATATAAAATCTGCGTTTAGACTATTTCACACCGAACACGAGCAGCGCGGTTACTTCAGCACCCGTATGAACAAAGATGCACATGTTTTAATGTCAAATTCATCCTATCTGCGTCTTAGTGACCTTATTGTGAATGTTTCATTCCTGGGTCTTTATGTATTTATTAATTTTTTTTTATTTTATTTAATGTACGTCACAATAAGGAGGAAGAGATTTGATGCCGCTTCCGTTACGTTGCAACTTTACAGTTCTTGGTCATCATTATTAGACTTAAATGTAAAGTTTTCAGTGTGAAATGTTAGTCAGGGGAGAGTGCTGCTTCATGTTGATCCTGTTTGTCTCCTGCAGTCCCAGAAGTCCTGGATCGAACACACTTTCACCAGGAGGGAATGTGTCTGTATTCTGCCCGTGTCGAAGGACCCGCACAGGTACATCATGCACTTCACCTTATTATTTAAGGCTCAATCTTTAGTGTGCAGGTTTGTCCAAACTGAATCAAGTCTGAATGCCATCACAACCACATGACACACCACTTTTCGTCTGCTGTTTTATGAATGCTGAGAATTCGGGCATACTAGTCTTATGTACTTTTTCGCCTACTATATAGAATGGAAGTAGGCATATTGGATGCAGCAATGAGACAAGCACAACAGCATGACTTCATTCAGTTCTGTTTTTTTCACGTGTCCTGATCATCTGCACACAATGGTACTGTAGTTCTGGTTTCCCTCAAATATGACTTCTGTGTGTTCTCTGCAGATGCCTCCCAGGATGCCAAATCTGCCAGCAGCTCGTGCGGTGAGTGTCATGAGACATGACATTAATACATTTCATACAATCAAGGTGTTCAGATGGAGTGTGTGCTGATGTGTGTGTGTGTGTGTGTGTAGATGCTGCTGCGGGCGTCTGGTTCGGCAGCACGTGGGCTTCACCGCCACGCTGGCAGTGAAATACTCAGACGTGCGCCTGACCGAGGGAGAGCTGCCCGATCTGGAGCAGTGGTCAGTGGAGAAGCACACAGAGGAGAGTCCCACTGACGCTTATGGAGTCATCAACTTCCAGGGAGGATCCCATTCATACAGAGCCAAGGTCTGAACACACACTCACACACACACACACACACGCGCTCACGCTCACTCTTACTCTCACACTCACACTCACACTCACACGCACACGCTCACGCTCACTCTCACTCTCACTCTCACTCTCACACTCACACTCACACTCACACTCACACTCACACTCACACTCACACGCACACGCACACGCACACGCACACCCACACGCACACCCACACTCACACTCACACTCACACACACA